GGTGAGTAGAAAATGAAGGCTAATCATGTTTTGGGTGTACTATTCCTTTAAGTGCTCAGTGTCAGTTCCTCTTCTAGTTCCAGGGCACATGTAAATACAATGCATTTATTTGGCGTCCCTTGAATCTTTTATTTCGCTTTGTTTCATGATACAAAGAGAACATTTAAATGAGTGGATTTTACCTCTATTTACCTCTGCACATTTCTATATCTTCAAAATTAAAAAAAAGTATAAATTCTCATATAACAGACATATTTAGACTATATTTTGTTAAATAGGCACAGATTTACCTACTGTCTTAGTCGCTGCTATTTTCAAATGCAAACCTTTTCAAAGTGGAAAAAAGTCCTAATTCCTCATTCGTCACAACCAGTTAAGTTTCATTTATTGATAAACAGCATCTAGTGTAGTGCTTTTAAATGTAGCAAGAAATGCTGCTTTTCTCTTTAAATGAAACACCCTGATTTTCCCGTCAAGGATAAAAAAATGAGCGTGCATATTTTTGCATAGGACCAATGACATTAGACCAATAGTGTCCCTATTAAAGTTAAAATCAAACCTACGCCCCTGCATGAAAACATATTTTCAGACACTTCTTCAGATCCCCTGACTGCTAAAGGAGAACCTTCCTGTCCTCAGCCATCATAATATACAGCTAAGGCCAAAACTATTCATACTCCAACATATTTCTTCTGACTTGAGCTAAAGTTAACATTTTGGAATTGTCCATAAATAAAAGATTTAGTTTTTAGTAACATTACTCCCTTTACATGTTTTATCATCTGCTGTAACCATGTCAAGCCTGTGAAATGATCCTGTATAAAGAAAATAAACAAACTAAACTGTATCAGACCTGTAATGCATCCAGCAACAACCTGGTGAGGAAAATGGGCGAGGATAAAGATCCTGGATATTCCGACTGCAACCAGCAGCAGCACGTAAAGCAGAGAGGGAGCAGCTGATATCAGCAGGCTGAACACAAAGGAAAAATAATTAAAACTTGTGCGCCTTTCCTTTTTATTAAACTGATTTCCGTTTTTTTTACCTTCCAGTGCGGGAGTACAGGAAGGAGCCCAGGGAGGACACCACCACCCACCAGACTGCGGCGGTCACCATCGCGTGTCCCGATGGACTTCCTGGGAAAAAATCACCAAATCTGGAGATTTTAACTCTTCTTCCAAAAGAAGGGGCACATCTATGACTTGAGTGTGTTTGATTTTTGCCTCACCTGGTCCAGTTTCACAGGTGGATGGAAACTGGGAAATTTTGGGTTGTGTTTCGACAAAAAGTTGAGATTCGCCGACCCACCAGAACGGTCGTTCTCCAAACAACATCCTGAGGGGAAAATAGGAGGAACAATTCACCACAAATCATTATTCAGCTTTTTTTTCTGCCTTAAACTCTAAATACAAATAAATTTAACATTTGAAAAAGATACGTTTATCCAGATTGCTGGTTTAAATAAAGATTTATATTTAAAAAATGAAACTCAAAACCATTTTGCCTTTAGTAAAATTATTATATGATTGATCACCAACTTCTATCTAATTTTACCCCCACATCCAGGCCTAATTTCTCCAGATCTTAAGAATTTAACTTAATTCATTAATAGGACTAGGCAGAAAATATAAAATACCCTAAATAATCCCAATAGTGACACGTTGTTATCTAAAAACCAAGAACAGATGAGAACTAAAGACTTCAAGGCTCCAGTAATCTACAGTGAAAGCCACAAAAGAAGAAAATTTAGACTAGAAATGATCCTGCCAGGAGTAGCCGGTCAACCCAGATCCATAAAAAAACTGAGTATAATAGATCTTTATGAGAAAGATCAAAGATCAAAGCCAGTGCTGAGCAAAAAGCTCTGGGATCCTCAAGATTTTAACGAAAAATATCTGGACTGAGGTAAGAAAAGTAAAAATGTTTTAGACAAACTTTATTTATCTTTTGGGATTACTCCTTCAGGGAAGTTCTGGTTCCAGTAGCTTATATAGAGTACAAAGAGTTAAAGCAAGATGCCATTAAAATTACAACAGACAATATAAAAAGAGTGAATATAGTGCAAAAAAGCATTAAAAAAAAGTTGGAATGTTTTGAAAGTGTATGTCCATTAAAATCTGGTTTAAAGCATTTAATAAAATAAAAATGTCCAATTTCTGCAGTCAAGGGTTCACAACAAATTATTGGGTTTAAGGGAAAATAATTAGTTAATATCAAAAACCGAAACTACATTATAACTTAAATTGCACATAAAAAACGTCAATATTAAAAATAAAACCTTTTGCGTTAAAATTAGAAATGAATGTATATTAATTTGTATTATATATACTTCCCTCTCTACGTTAAATAAAAGGCAAAATGTGAAGCTACTATTTAATTTTTACTTTTTTGTTTTAAAGAAGTTCGATACATACATTAATAAAATCTAACTCACTTCAGTATGTGAGGTTTTAAACGTTTCTTTAATGAAGAAACTAGAAAACACAAGTTGCAACAGAGAGTAGTGGAACAAAGGTTCCATTGATAGAGTTTCAGCACGGACAACTTATAGAGGTGGACCGCGGTGTTGTCCCGGAAGCTGCAACGTTAAAATACTACAATAAAATGAAAGAATAGCACAACGTTTATAACTACAACAGTGAGATGACATTTGTTTTACGAAATTAAAAAAAGTACCATTGGCTGTTTTACAAATGAAAATAAAGGCCCTTCATAATGAATTGTTGCACCTAAATGAATTAGAAACGTATTTTCTGTC